AGTAGACCACGTTTTAGAATAGCACTATATTACGGTGCACCTAATATTCGGTATTTTGGACACATTTTGTACCGAATTGGCTGTAATATCGTACATTGGGTAGTATATATTCTTAGCAAGAAATGTTAATATTGTTAGGATAGCTCCCATATAAGGTTACCTCCCAAAATTTTGCTAGTTTGAGCACGTCTTTTAGAAAATTACCTGTAATTCAACATTTTGGAATTTCAGTGGGTAGCAAAGCTCTCTACCAAAAATTTGCTATATTGGTCCAAGTTTCATTGTAGCTCCATTATTAGACATTTAAAGTTTTTAAGCCATTTTATCCAAATTGTAGGTTCTCTTTAGGGCACAAAAATTACAAACAAGTACCTAGCTCAGTATTCCAACTCACGTGTCTGAATTTTTATATTTTGTTTTCTCCAAAGTCCCGATTGATTTTAAATATTTTGAATGTATACCTCAAGTTCGACTCGGTCGACATTAACGACCTTTTTATTTGTTTTAATAATTTTTTAAGGCATAAAGAAAAATTATAGTAACGAATTTAAGAGATCATATTGATCAGATTCAATACCATATTAAAATTTAAAAAAAACCTTCCATTTTTTAGCTCCTCCCTAATTAATTATTATTTTGTTATGTTCCACAGTACCAGCAATTATCTTAAAAAAGAAAAAAAAAAACAATTATACTCCAAACTGTCACATCTTTTCCATAATATACCTTGTGGCTATGTATACGAGTATGTCTTCCACAGATCTCACATTATTTCCCATTGAAATAACGGAAATTACTTAACGATTTCTATTTCAAAAAAACACGTCTCAACAATAGATATGGAAAAAAGTGTGAAACCTTTTGATTTGAATGGCATTGTCAAAATGCAATAATCATGTCTAAACAAATCAATATTTTCACATCAATATTTCTGCTGTTACGGTTGATGTTGTTGTTTGTGTTGTGGTATTTCAAAAGCAGCCACTTAGCACACAGAGAGATACAAACCAAAAAAAAAAAATCAATAACAAAAAGACATGCAAAAAAGATGATTTGAAAATATCCAAGCCAAGAGTAAATGTGTTTCGTTGCCCTTATGTCAATCTTTTTTTGTTTTGACAGGGTAGAGAAGAGACGTAACATCTTGTTGAGTGTTACAGGAAATTGAATTTATATCAAGTGTAGAAGGTTTTGATTTCGATGCCAATCCATTCATTTGTTTATTCATCAGTAACAACAACAAAAACAATAACCCATATAACACCAGACATTCAAATATTGACAGAAGTTTCTATAATTTTTTTTCACATCTTCTTTTGTGGATTTTTTTCAAAAGTTTATTTTGTCTGGTCGCAAACGGCGGACTGATGGTAATAATGATGTGATCGTTGTTATCTTTAACCAATTTTGTTATTGTTGTTTTCTGAATTATTGAAAATGTAAGAAAACAAAAAGAAATATGAAAAGAATTCGCATCGACACCATTCAATATTTATCTATGGCATGCCACAAAAAAACAACCAAAAATCCCGTCATGTACTCAAAACCTGAAAAACACATTCATTTATCACAAAAAAAAAACATGGAATTGAATTGTTTCTGGTTTTCTATTTCTACAGTGATTTTGTGATGTTGTTCTTTTCTTCTTAGTTTGTTCAAGCCTGAAACAATATAACTGTTACTAGCACACGTTTTCAGATCATAATCATTATAATAATAGGTTTGTTTATGGGATGAGCTCAAACCTGAATATTTTATCTCTATATAGACAGATTAAAAAGTTTTTGTTAGGATGTATAAAAAATATATATTTTTATATATGTATGTATAAATATGTATATATGAGTACATAGGCAAGAAAAAACGTAGTTATTATAGGTCGGGTTGACATTTGTATACGAGGTATTAAGAAACCAATACCGATTTTATATTTAAAAGTCATAGCTTCATATATCCCTGAAAATGGGTCTTTTCAGGTGTAAATCTGTGATAAAATCTATATGATAAGAAGATCTCTGGAGAATGTATCTAAGGTCTTCGTGATATCTAAAATTGATCGGGCTGATATTTGGTATTATATCGAAACATTGATTGTGTGTTAGGAACTCGAGCTGCGAATAAATCAGCTGACAGTGAGCGATTTAAGTTGGCTAAGCTGAATGAGTTTTCAATTTCAAAATTGCATCGGCATGGAGTTTGGATAATTTTTATTTGTTTATTTAGTATCACCTTCCCATGCTACTTTATTAAGGCTTACTTAGGAACTCAGGACTAGTTCACATTGGTAACTTCGGTTGGAGCTCTAAAGTCTTGTACCTGAAATCGAAATACCATTATAAAACTGTGAGCCAGGAACTCTTGAATTCTGAATTAAATAAATAAAAACAAAGCATGACCTCTCCTAGGGATAAGTAAATCTACTTTCGACCAATCGACTTTTTGTATTAAAAAGTCTAAAAGTCGAAGTCGACTTTAGACCTTTGAGAAAATCGCAAAGTCGACTTTTCAAGATCGATTTTTTTGTACAAAAATTATTGTACACGTTCCAGAATTTTATTTTCTCTGTTGACAACAATTCCTGTAGATAATTGAATTTTTAGGCGATTTTTCATTAGTTGTTAAAAGACGAAAATCGATCCTGAAAAAGTTTGACAAAATCGACAGATCGAAAAGACGACTTTTTAGTCAAAGGCAAAAGTCGAAAAGTCTAAAAATCGACTTTTTGGTCAGTGGCAAAAATCGAAAAGTCTAAAAGTCGATTTTAACGCTCAACTACGTATCCCTAACTTCTCCGGCCAAGCTCTTTTTTGCTCTAGCAAAAAACTCGGCCAAGCTCTTTCCGGCGAGATACCAAATTAAACACACGTATGTTGATCGGAAACCTTCATTTTCCATTCAGTCTAATTGGATGTAATAAAAACTTCATATCGTAGGTCGAAATCAACTTTTATCGGTACGACATCACAAAGTGAATGAGAATTATTTTCCCATGTCTCAACAATAGCTTCATGACGGTTCATTGAAGTCTATTATCTAGTTATTATGGTTGCAAAGTGAGTTGCTTAAATGTAGGTATCCTAGTATTATATTAACCAGAGGTATATAATAAAATGGTGTAAAATATAGCAGTCACGTTACAACATCTGGTAGTGGATGATAACTTTCCATACAAAAATAGTTGTTGCTCTTCTCTGAGAGAAAATCTGCTAGTCTTCTAAGGAAAAAGGTTTTCTGGTCTTCTCTACAAGAAAACCTTCTGGTCTTCTACATTAGAAGTCTGATACTTAGGATCGTCTTCTGTAAAAAAAAATCGATATTGTTCTTTACAATAGTTTCCGGTGTCTTCTTCTACACAAAAATAACCTATTATTCTTCTACCGACTGGTTTTTCTATATGGAAATATCAGGAGGTTTCATTCAGAAGATTGGCTATTGATTTTCTACAAAAAATCCTGTATGAATGACAAATGTATATAACAATACTTTCTCATCATCCGAAAGAGGAAATGCTGTTGATGTTGTATAGAAGAGACCCATCTAATTTTTTATGAATATGAACCTTTTGACCTTCTTTAAAAGAAGACCTTCGGATCTTCAACAAAAGTAGACGGTCTGGTATTCCATAGAAGCAAAATTGTCTACTTCTTCCATAAAAGAATACCTTCTGATATGATCTAAAGATTAACATCTGATCCTCTGAGGGGACTTGCGATTCTTCTTGAAAAAGGCCTTCAAGGCAAGTCTAGAGATGAAACTTCTGGTGTGCTATAGAAAAAATATTTCTGGTATCTAAAAACTGGACCTTTTGTTATCTTATACTAGGTCACATTTTTATAATTCTTAAGAAGAAGATCTAGCTTTCTTCCGTTGAAGAAAAACATCTGCTTTTATATTGAAAGATACCTCCTGGTATCATATTAACGAAGATCTGGCATGGTCTTTTCAAATCAAATACCTCTAGGTCTTCTTCAACGAATGACCTTTTGGTTTTCTTGACCTTCTAGTCTTCTGTAGAGAAAGGCCTTTCGGTATTGTAGAAAATGAAACTGAACTTCTATTGCAGAAAATCCTTCTGGTACTTAAGAATGAAAGCGCCCACTGGTGTTCTATAAAAGAGCCCTTAATGAATTTCTATAGAAGAAAACTTCTGGTCTTGCACTGTCGTTTGCTATTCTATAGAATAAGGAATTGTGTTTTATTAAAGAAAACGACACTCTATTTTATAAAAGAAGACCTTCTGAGTTTCTTCTCATATACTAATAATACATTCTAGGCTTCTAAACCTTTTAATCCCTTTCACAAAAATCCCTTTCGAGAGATATAAACTCCATTGATACTTTTCGTATATCTCGTGAACAAAGTCGTCACATATAATAAATTTAATTTTATCTCTTTCTGGTCGGTGTTGCGGATTGGAGCACGTTCGTACTTTATTTGAAAGACTTTCCATAAACAAACTTATTTTAACTCACAACTTTGCATTTACGATCAAAAGTACTTTTTTTAATTTCTGGGCATATTAGTATTTTATATTCTTGTCATAGCTTTTGACACCAACATTGATCATCCTGCAAATATACGAAATTGAGAAAATACACATCTCATAGTTGCCTAAAAGTATGCAAGACACATTCAATTCATATTTTCAAAACAGCTGATCTTATTGGAAACTTGAAGTCTAAAATAATTGTTAGATTTTTTATATTTATCACATAAAGAGTATAGAATAAAAAGAGATGCTTTTATTTCATAATATATCTGATTTTCATAAAAAATTGCATTTTTAATTATATTATGAGAATTCCCAAAAAATATTGTTAAATTTCCGATTTATATATTTCTTCTTCGTGTAGATAATCAGCAATTTCGTTACATACCTTTCAATCATTATTGTGATCTTTGCAAATCATTTTCAAAGTGAATGATATATTTTTTAATTAATTAAATTTATTTTATTATTTATTGAAATTAAATTATAAATTACCCAACTTCTTTAGTAGCTACCGGCTGTTCCCCTACCAATAGCATTGCTAGTTTAAATCCTTTTGACAATACTGCCTACCCCGTTTTGTCATCATCGCCATCATCATCAAAAGTTGCCATGGAAATTCAATATCATCGGCAAGAACATCAGCAGCCATTATTGGATTTTAGTAATGCTGCTGGTGCTGCTGTTGGCCAAAAATCATCAACAAAAATAGGTCATAGTTCTCAGCATCACAACAACAGCAACAATTGTTACCATAGCAATTGTCTAATTGGCAACAATAGTTATGCCATGCCCACAAGTTCATCGGTTTTAAAGCAGCGTAAATATCCTGCAAACTGTAGTAGTTCATCGCCAAAATTACGCAAATGTCCTTTGTCGCCGCTTTTAATTAATACCGCAAATAAAATGCCATTACCGGCTGGTACTAACACTATCAAAACACCATCGACAACAACACCATCACCACCCATCACAACACCATCAACGACTCAATGTTCAACAGTAACGACAACACCAACAAAAACAACGACAACGGCAACGATTCTAGCTGAATTACAGTATTCAAATGAGGGAAAACAACAATTTCCACTTAACACTGCTGCTGCCCCCACCATTGTGGGTGGTAATAGTAATTCATCTTCTGTATGCTCCTCTGTGACTACGCCACTGTCACCCAATAATAATAATAACAATAATTGTTCTTTGTCAGTGCGTACAACAAAAACTACACGTTTACGTGCCGCCGCACTGGGTGAGTTTATGTTTTGTTCTGTTTTTCGAATTTTTCTCCCCTTCAGAGATTTATTTGAAACTAACAATTAATCAAATAAAAATATTTCCTAATTGTTGGCATTAATTGCAATGTGTATTTTGGGAAAATTCCAAAATATTATTATTTTTTATTATTTTAAAATTAGTTTTTCCCATTAATAAGTTCTAACAGTTTTGAAACCAGTAATACAATTTGTTTTTAATCTTTTTTTAACAGTGTATATAAATTTCTAATTTTTTGGAGAGGGGAGTAGTTTGTTAATACGGTTTCCAAGGGGGCTAAGCATTTTTAACAGTCTAGAAAATTATTAACAATTTCCTAAATAATTAATCAATAATTTATTTATAAAACTTGCAGACAACGTATACATATATCCCCAACGCCAGCCAGTAGGCCGGGATTTCTTTTATAACCACGTCTAAGCGGACAAAATATTTGCAAATTGTTCATTCTGAGACCCAATAGAATTTGATACCAAATGGTGTTTCATAACCATACAAACATTCTAGTTAGTACATCGATGCGAAAGTTGAGAAAAATATCGTAATTCCAATTTCTATTTTTCTAAAGTCACTGTAAGCAACACAGCACATGTTCAAACGTTTATGCTGAGACAGGACCGCAATACCCCATTATATAAGTCGGATGGGGCGTTAAGTTTTAAGTCAATATTATTTATCGAGGCACTATACGAGGTGTTGTTTAACCTGTTATAGTGCCTCAAGAAATAATATTGACTTAAATCTTAAACCCTCTATTGACTCATTGAAAGGGGTCTTTTCGGCCATGTCTTAGCAAAATCGTGCCACCATGTGCTGTGCTGTGTACAGTGACATTGAAACCAAAATTGAGAAAAAAAGAAAAAAAATGAAATACGTACGATTTTTTTGTACAACTTTTGACGTGGATTATAGGGACAAGAGTGCATCGATGTATTAGCATCTTTGTTTAGTTTTAAAGCACCATGAAAATGTGCTTTGAATTCAATCGTGAACCTTTTTCGCAAAGGCCGTCGTGCCACAGAACATTGATGTCGTGAGCGAACATATATAAGATCTTCACATACATTGAGATAGAGACATCCTATGGGTATGGGCATCCTATAGAAGTTTTTTCCACCAGCATTGATTCCATCCTGCACAATTTGATAACGCTCAAGTGTGGATCATGTCGACTGGATAATATTGATAAATAATTGTTTAATGTGAGAATGGGGTTTCCACTTAGGTCTTCAGGGCATGCCGCAATCTAATTAGAAATCAATAAAAGTCATCAGGTCGCAGAACGGCAGCAACTGATAAAGAAATATTGCAGTGAAAGAAAATTGTCCATATAAGAATAGTTCATCTTCTCTATGAGAAAATCATATAATTTTCTACATAAAACGACCATACGATACCCTACACAAATACCACGGAACTCTTACATTCGTGATATTTTTCCGGATAAGAGGTCAACGGCCTCTCTTCCTTTTCCGAATCCTACTAATATTCAGTACAGCCCTTCTGTGATGTTCGGCTTATAATTGTGGCCTATAGATCGACTCGAAATAAACACAAAAAATTAAGTTTTCGGTCCACTTCATCCCAAAATAGTTATCTGATCATTACCGAAAATTATGGGCGTACTAAATAATATCTGAATACGTAACTACCTGTAAATATCCAAGTGTAACTCCCATAAGTCCAAAAAAAATTGTACCAATTTAAAGGCCAGCCACTCCTCTTGGATATAATATCAACTTCTTGAATCTATGTCCTTCAGGATCAAGTATATACGCCCCAGAATAAAAATTTTGTAATTTTTCACACAAAAGTCAGGGTCCATTAATATTGACCGATCTTTATCAAAACAGGCATGCTTATTCTTTGGCACGATCCTCTTCTCCATGTAAAATTTCACGATGTTCGGACCATAACTGCGGCCTCTGGAGCGACCAGAAAAACCGACAAAAAAATAAGTATTTGGTCCATTTCATCCCTTAAATATTAACTGATGTTTACCAAAAATAATATGGGTCTTCATTGGGACGAACCTTTCCTCCATGCAAAATTTGGTGAAGATTGGTCCATAACTCAAACCAGAGCCTTTTTGGGCGGCCAAAACGTAAAACGTAAATTTAAAAAATGCAAGGTCAACGATTTTTTTTTTAACCCACTTTTTGAAGGTGTCTCAATCCAAGTGAAACCAGTAAGGAAAGTAAAAAAGTTATACAGTCGCAAGAGATGCTATTAAGATTATTATTGTAAAAGACGTAGTATTTTTGAAGCATCATGACATCGGACGGAATGAAATATGTGATTTGTTTCGGGCAAACTTTGAAAGTTCGGTGCGCCTTTTACATAAAATCGGAGGAAAATATATATGGGGCAGATATTTCTAAATCCTAACCGATTTCAACAAAATTTTGTCTCATTCGGAAAATTGGTGCACCATTTACATATAATCGGAGGAAAATATATATGGGCGATACATCTAAATATTAACCAATTTCTTTAAAACTTAATATACGTCAATATTTACTTAATTAAGTACGATGTGCAAAATTTTGTCTTAATCGATCTGATATTGTGACTTGGGTGAACTATTGTGGAATCAGACAAAACTATGTATCGGAACTATATCTAAATCTAACCGATTTTTTCAAATTCAATAGAATTCGTCCTAGGGCCAAATATTCTCAAAAAGAACTATCGGCATATCTTGTTTCCTTTTGCCTGTTACAAACATATGCACAAAGACAAAATACCCTGTACCACAGTGCGGTAAAAAGTGTTTCCACAATTATTTCCTACAAAATCAATTATTTGACAGGATGTGCAACCATAATCGGACTCATCGATATTTCCCAAATGAAAACAAATTATATTTTATAAACTAAAATTCTATCACCTGACAAATAACAGCCTTTATTTGAAAACTTCTATTAACCATTAGTTTGGAACTTGTTTCAACATATTTGTTTATTGATTATCTCAGCAATTAGAACATGAACTTGTTTGGTGTGCCTCGTATGAGAAATACTCCATTAAAACTAAATTAGCTTATTGACCAGCTAAAAACTATAAGCCATAACTTAATTAAGTTAACCTATTACCCTAAATAGCAAACAATTATTATTTCAGAAAAAAAAAACAAATAAATAATTATGACAAATGTCTTTGGTTTGGGATATAGATTTTATGTTCGTCATTTTATGTATGGTGGATTTTTAACTCCTCGAAATATTCATCTCAGATCATATTTAGTGGAATTACCATTTTCTTTTATCAATAAATAGGGGTCTATTTAATTTTTACAAATTATTGAAATAAATTTAAAATGTTTTATTTAATAGTATCTTTAATTTAAAAAAATGTTATGATTTGAAAATTCTCAAAATTCTATAGGTGCCTTTTCACTTTTACAGTACGAATTATTGTATAAAGTGGTTTATATAATATCAACGTATCAACAAAAACCCTGTGTAAAATTGCATTATAAAAAGTTCATATTTCTTAAAAAAAGCTAAAAATTCCCTATAAAATAACAAAGCCTTTTAACAGTCAAATCACAATTAAAATGTGGATCCAATTTCCACATTTTAGGTTAAAATAAAAAATAATAAAAAAACATCAAGGAAGATTTAAGTGTATTCCGGTCTTAAAGGGTTGAATAAAATGTGTGTCCATATAATTCCCATCACTAATTTGTAATACCAAACCTCTAATATATGTTTTCGTATGTTTGTTTATTTGTTTCTTCTTAATATGTCTTAACAAAAATATATGCTTATGCATGAAACTGATATATTTTAAAAACACTTGTTTTATTTTTTTACTTGCTAACACTCTCAGTAACTAACACTAACCGCATATTTCCCTTTTCCTATTTTTATCTTCTTCTTCCCCCCACCGAAAAACCAAAATCAAATCATCTTTAGATAAGAAAAAGGGCGAATTAACTCAACAAAACCAGCATCAACCTCAATCACAATATTTTACCTCTCCAACATCACCGAATAAACAACGTTCGGCGGCAATATCCTCCGATAAACCGACACCCAGTGGATCTGAGGGCGAACATAATAATCGGCAAATGCCTAATAGTTGTTCGCCAACAAATCGCACCAAAAAATTGGTACCATCGATGTCGGTGTCAGCGGTAAAGCAAAATTTAAATGAATTGCACTGTACCGCTGCAACGAAATCGACTAGCCCACGTTCGAATGTCAATTCACCGAAATCACCTAAAAATAAATCGACCACCACCAACTCTGTTGAATGTACAGTAAAGGTACCCACATCACCGAAATCACCACAAAAACAAATAACAACTATGAATAAGTCAAGTGGTGCGGCGGCTATGCCAACCTCACCCAATCCTTTGGCTCACGATGATATTGATGTGGATTTTATGGAAATTCATGATTTACCCATAGAGGATGATGACGATGATAATGGTCCCATGATACGTCCACGTTGTTCAACCATGCAAAATGATGCCAAGGAAAAGAGAAGATCATCCTCGTCAAGTCTATTGACAGCTAATGAACCACCACCAGAACTAAGTCCGGTACATAGGAGTAGAAATGTAAGTAACTCGAATATTTGATGGTATTTATTTTATTAACATGTTCTTACCAAAATTTCTTCACAGTATGATCGTTCACCCCGCCGACCAGAGGAACGTGATAAATCATCGAAACGTAAATCAAATTTGAATCGTTCACAAACTGATGAACCGATTCAAGATAGTGGTAAGTCTGAAGGGGGATTGTAATGAATGCAGATTCTAAGCACCGACTACTTATTTACGAATAGATCAAATAAACATTTGAGTTTTTCCCAAAATAGTTTCTAAAAAAATTAAGGCCTTTATACGAACTTATTTTCTTTTAAGAAATAATATATACTTCCATATATATATATATATAGAAAAATCTCGTTAAGATTACAAAGTTCTTATTTTTAAGAAGTACATCTAAAATCAAAAACATTTTCACATCTAAAATCTTTACACATTGTACACCTTTGAAGACTTCCTTCAATAGAACGTTAACGGAAATATTTAGAAATAGATATTTTATATAAAAATTATATAGAATCCTACAGAATTTGAAAGGAACTCTATTTGGTACATACCTTAAACGGTAGAAGGTAATCACAACAAGGACTAATACAACCTAGTTGTGATTCTAAAGGTGTCATGAAGGTTTTTATAGAATCGACGAAATGATAAAGTCTACAATAGAAAGTATGTCTACTATATGTCTTTACATTTCAACAAACCTCTAAAACAATAGATTCTATATATTGTTAACCTTCTTCAGAGATTTTACAAAAACCCAAAATTTGGTAGAAAACTCTAATATTGTGTAAAATATTATATATTCCGAAAACATCTTTATAAGGTAGAGTGCCTCCGTAGATGTGAATTTTTACATTAATTTCTGAGAATATTATTAATATTCTATCAAAAATCAACTGTAAATATTAGCAATCCTAAAAAGACGATAAACATAAAATAAAAAGTATCTCCTAAAATAAAGGTCCTTTGAATGACTTTTTAAAATACAGATAATCCATGATATGAATTAAAAAGTCCACGCTGATAACTTCAGTAAAAATTATGTTTATGAATATCATATATAACTCTGGACGTATAGGAAAATACACCCTAGAAACAGACACTGATTAAATACAATTCCTCCCAAAAGCATTCTATAGATTACATATATTATTCTGGTATGCTTCAGAACTCTACTGATCTTTAAGGGACACATCCAATATGCTGCATAAAAATCTTCATTTAATTTATGTATAAATTCAGATACTATTCAGATATTCATATAGGACTTTACAACCGTCATTTATGTATATGTATCTGAATGTAAAAGAAAAAGTATTTTGAAGAAAAACGTTTCAAACACTGATAAAACACAATTCCTCCTAAAAGTATACTATAAATTATAGACATTATTGTGGTATGCTTTAGAAAGCATTTAATGTTCTAGAGCAGCAATACCTCCACCAGTTTTAATAGAAATCTTCTAAAGATTAATAAATCATAAACGTATTCCAATAATAGAAAGCCTCATAAACGTTATAATAAATCTATTCTGTAAAGAGATAAGTTTAAAAGTTGACATTTTTTTTGAAACATTCATTGATTCTTTTGAGGTAATTTCAGACTACTTTTTGTTGCGTATTGTGCGGTATCTTAGTCGTAACTTGACGAATGTTGGGTTTTAAGTGCTCAAGAGTTGAAGGTTTAATTGCATCGCATGATCTTGACCAGATGATATCGCCAATACGAGAAATTACGTGACCAGGGAATGTCTGTTGCAATGAAAACATAATCGCTTGTGTTGTGTGGCATGCAAGAACGTCTTGTTGAAACCACATATGTCCATAATGTTCCGAATTGACGATGACAGCCGTTCCATCGTCATTTTCGAAGAATTAAGGCCCAATCACACCAACGAACCAAAGATGGCACAAACATCGATTTTTTGCTGTAATGACATTTCTTCAATTATTTGAGGTTTCTCAGACCTACAAATACAACAATTTTATTTATTAACATACCGACCGAGTGAGAAATGTACTTCATCGCACAAGAAAATTTAGTTTAAACATTTTCCGTCCACCGACTGTTTTTCAAGCACACATTCCACGTATCTGGACTTTATATGAATGTGGATGTAGATCTAAATGCAAATTGTGCCTTGATATGCCGTAAGACAGTCCCAATTCCTGAGAACGACGAGGAATCGACACATGCGGGTCGCTCACTTACATCAGCGATATTTTTACAATATACACTATTTTTAACCGCTCCAGTCTCTTCAAATTTCATCACAATTTTGTCAATTGCTTGCGTTTCTGGACGATTGTGTAAACCATAATCTCATCCTAAAGCAAGATATGTGGCTGTGGTAGATTTTTTTTAAAGGTTTTGGGATAGTTAAGCGATACATTTTCGTCAATGTTTGACTTTTGAAACTATGAAATGTATAGTTCTGTACATATAAGACCAAGACCTTCAAAATGTATTCACATCTGTTATTAGATGGTATTTTTTATGCATAATGTTTTTTTAATGTAGGTAATAGTCTCCAAAAATTGTAATTTTTTTCTCAAAATTATTTGTAAATTTTTTTATGGATATCCCTCATAAATATTAGCTTTGAGAAAAGAAATCCATTATTTGTATATGAACTATAGCACTTTATTAACATGCTTCGGAATGTCCGATTTGGACCACATATGCACTGTTTTGTTTTATGATTTGTTGTCATTTTAATAGTAACTTCATAATGTCTTTCTCATAAAAATCCTGCTCTATATTTGAAAAAAAAAACTCTAGTAGTCGATTTTCACAATCCTCCCTAGAAACCAATGTTTTATTATTAAAGAAATTTTTTAAATTTTTTTAAAAAGATGCAATGGCGGATGCTTGGAGCCAACCAAGCTCCCGAACTTTCTGGCAAGTCATTGTAGATGTGTGGCATAGCGTTGTCCCGGTGTTGGCCAATTCTGGCCGTTTCTGGTCAATTGGTGTTTTCAAACGGTCCAGTTGTTGACAGTAGAGATCAGAATTTAGCGTTTGGACATATGGAAGCAAATCATAATAATTAACCACCTTCCGGTCCCACCAAATGCATAGCTGAACTGGGTTGGAAGGTGATTATTTATTATCAGTCATCTCCAATCACCATCCGTTTAAGTAATGGGTCTATCTCATTCCGTTTGGCCAAGGCTTCGCAGATGGAAATTCGATCCATTCTATTTTCTTTCTGTTAATTGGTGTTCACGATCACGATTGTTTTCGCACAGGGTTATCGTATGTGATTATTCATCTCGAGTCACCATCCGTTTAAGATATAGGTCTATCTCATTTCGTTGGCCAAGACTTCGCAGATGGAAATTCTATCCATCATATTTTTTTTCTGTTAATTGGTGAGGTACCCAAACATCGAGTTTCCAGCTATGGTTAATAGTTTAAAACAGTTTTATGGTCGATTTTTAGCTCCTGGGCGATGTTACGATTGCTAACATGCCGGTCAACTTCAATCATTTCTCCGATTTTATTGGCATATTCGACGACCGGTCATTCCATTGTCTAAGACAAAAATCATTAAATAAATTTGGAAATATTTTTATTAATCTGATAGACATGTAATGTAATTTTCAGACCATGTCAATAGTTCTTACCAAAAAAATGTTTGTTATTCTCTCATAAAATATCACTCTAAATTGAAACGAAAGTTATATAGATAGATAAAACATTTCCAACATGTATGTATTGATACCGATCTCAAAAATTATTTTATGCTTCTTATAAATAAAAATGAACTAAAGAAAAACTTTTCTAAGCTAAAACACTCCGTTCACCCCTCATTTATTACCTTCTATAACAAACTAAAAATTGTTACAAAATTTCAATTACATACACATTTTCTTTAAATATTTATATTTGGTTACCACAACTATACTACTAGTTAACTAAATAATATACCGAACCACTGCGATAACTTCTCAAACATTGTTTAAATTTGATTATTACAAATTGCATACTCAATGTCTTCAGTACATAAACTACTACCAATCGATTGAAAATGGGTGTAACTGAAGTGATTTCATAATTTCATTTTTTTATTTTACATATTCAACCACAAGCAAAGAAAAACTTACAATTTGTCTGTAATACGCTCCAATGATTTTGATTTCATTACTAAACCATAAAATTTAATTGAAGAACGCCCACTTCCCAAAAAAAAAACCGAACCCATAACCCAAGACAACTATGACGATGAAAAACCATGATGATGAACATGGTGATGTTGATGATGGCAAATATAAGTAAAATAGTGATAACTTTGTAAAGACAGTGTATTTAAGTAGGCTGCAATGCCATTAAAAATTGTGACGGTCAATTAAAATCATTAAAAAATTGGTCGGATTCTTGTTAGTTGGGGATTTTTTCCATTCATGAATTTAGGAGCATGGGCGCACTAATGATTGATGAATAACAAAAGAAAACCTACAACTACAGTTTGAATAAATTTTGAATCAATCTATAGTATAGATTGATTAGCCATTGAAAATAAAATAAATGTTGAACTATAGGCCTCCTTACTTTTCACAAATACGAGTACTGACTTTGGAAATTCTTGAATATTATGTTGGAAATCTTAAGGAATTTAGTTCAGTTTTTATAATCATTATCCGTTTATAATATACACACCACCATATGTGGAAGACATACCAATTCACACTTTGAAAGACTTGGATACACACAACTATAACATTTTTAATTTACACACCTATAACACAGTCCAGCAAAAATAGTCTTAAAATCCACGCCTATATCTCCATACTTCAAAAAATGTTTTTAAAAAAAATCACATAAAAATATCACATTTTTAATTGAAATTTTTATATATTTTAAATTTTTATCTTTTGGGAGAAAAAAACAAATTGGTAGATATAATTGTCACACAAGCATGGCAACACCTCTTAATCAAATTAAGATAAACATGCAAAAAATATTTTTGCAAATGAAACTATTTTGTTTTTTCTCAAATTATTATCTTCAATATTTACTTTTCATTATTAAGGTATAATAAAAGTTTACAATGCTAACCACATTTAGTCTGTGCGGGTAACTTGCAACGAACACAAAAGCGGTGTGTCCAACCAAACGCACGGAATCGTTCGTTATGCAATCGTTGAAATTACCACGAAATGATATAACATCATCGACAACAACAACTACAAATTCGATATTAAAACATTTACATTTGAAAACATTTACCCTTCATCAACATCACCATCGCCATCATCCACACAATCATTCTTCCAATGGCAAAAATAATCTATCCGAAAACACATGTCTTGTTCTAACCCAGGATGTGGTTTGTGTAAAATATGTTTGTTTTCAATGTCAATTCTATGGAATTTCTAATGTTGCATGTATGTGAATATGTTCTTAAGTGTGTTATATACATATAAAATCTATACAATAGCAATTTATATAAAAATATTTTAATAAATAATTAATAAAGAATGTTTTCCACTTCTCAGATGAAACAGCTGCCCGACGACGCAAACGTCGTGAATTGGGAATGGCTCGAACTTTGGTGCCATCGGATGATGCCGGTGCCGCAGTTAAGGAATTGCTCACCTCTCCCTCTAAGACTCAGCCCAGCAACTCTCCTCCCAAACCCAGTTCGCGCAACGATTTGTCCTATCACATGGAATTGGCCCGAAGAGGCTTGGATCAGGCTTCCAACGCCAATGCCATGGCAAATCGACGTCGTGCTCAAACTGCAAGTCCCAAACAAGTTAAGGAATCATCATCGCCACCCAGTAGCAGTAACAACAGTAAAACGGCTGGTCCTGTGTTGCAAAAAGTTAGTCGTCGCTGTGATACAGTGGCCATTGGAGAACTCCGCAAACAACGTACCGATGAAGTCAATCGCAAATTGAACGAACGCACCCGCAGTGATTTAGCGGAAATTATCAAAATTGCTGAAATTGCCAATGATTGCTCGGAAAGCGCGGCCAGTGCAATCAGCGATTTAACCAGAACCATGAATCGTCTTCGCACCAGTCAGGAGCGAGAATCGACCGATGAAGCCAATCGTAGCTCACCTGGCAAACATGCAACTTTCCACCAAGAAGAACGTATTTACTATGAACCTGATCCCATGGAACATGTCGATCAAAATGGTTCTGATGTTCTAGAACGTTCTAAGTTAGGCGGTATTTTGCGTTCACAACGTATGCTTAAGGCTCGCAGTATAGAACGTGAATCCAGCTTTGAACCTCCAAAACTTTCACCCATACTAAGGCGTAAAAGTACCGATGATCCCCTCAACAATACCCCACAACAGTCGAATAATCAAATTGTCTCCATTCTCAAGAAGAAAGACCATCTATCGGCATGTGAATCCAGTTCAGCATCAAGTAATGCATCCCCAGTCACATTTTCGGCCACTGTCATGGATACTCCCTCAAAACAGAAACGGGCTGGAATTCTTAAGAAACGTTCTTCCCTTGATGAATCACGTTACTATTCACGTTCACATTCACCCGATGAGCGTAGCATCTTCATAAAGTCGGCTCGCCGTAATTCTCTAGAAGAAACTGCAGCCAATGGCAATTGTTCCTTAACTCAGGGTCCTCAGGGCATTCTAAAACAAAGCAGCTATGATAGCTTTAAAAGTGATGGCTGCCCATCGGCCAGTGGTGCCATGGGTGGAGGAAGTTCTGGTGAATCGCAACATCCACACAGCATACTCAAGAAGAAGGATTCAACTTCCACACCCTCCGATCTTGCTCAACATGCCACCAAACATGTGTCCATATCACAAGCTGTTATTTTAGCTGCAGCAGAGCTGTCGGCAAATGAACCGGGAGAAAATGTCTCCTTTGGCGAGGATGTCAGTTTTACACCCAGCAATGAGGAGTATGACATAAAACCCATACTCAAACTAGAAACCTCAACCAGTGACGATGCAGTCAAACCACCAAAACCAATACTAAAGAAAAAATCCTCTGGCGATTCGGATGAACATGAAATCAAACCTATACTCAAAACATCTCGTAAATCCAGCCGAGAGGAATTTGAATTTGATCCATTTTCGGAAAGTGATGGTGAGCCATTGGTTAAACCCATACTCAAAACAGATTCACCATCGAAACGACGCTCTTTGGGACCCACCGATGATCCGGACACGGAACGTGACTCGGCAACCTCACCATTTATGCTTAAAAGACGTACACGTTCGTTGGAACGTCAAGATCACACACCTGTGATAGATTTGGGCGCCGCGCTAAATGCTATTGCTACCTCACAAGAAAACACTGACGATTTGGTGGCCAGTCTAACCTCGACGCCGGGTGCCAATATATCGGTGGCCGATCGTATTAAATCGATGGAAAAGTTCCTTAACAATCAAAGTAATGCAACGCCAGCCAGTAGTAGTAATTCGGCCATAAATACATCATGGGAATCACCGTTACAAAATGATCCAAATAAGTCGATGGATGTTGGTGGTGCCGGTGCCGCTGGCGGTAATGTTACGGGTGCAGTGAAAATATTAAAGCCCAGTGTCATACGTCGTGATCTTCTTAAGGATAGATATAAAACACAACCGGTGACCAGTGATGAAAAGAATTTGTGAGTATATAAAATATATTGTTATATTACGTATATTTACAATTATGAATAGGGTTGGTTCATGAATTTTCTTTTTTTATTTTTTAAAGTTTACAAATTGTGTTCAATCGTTGACAAAATTAAAATGAGTTTTGGTTTGTTGTTAATGTGAAGTGATAAATAAGACAAGATTTTATTATTTCAGATACAAATTTATAATATTTGTGTGTACAATTTAATTGTAAACAGTATTGCGTATTTACATTTAGATAAGATTTTAATAGAACAGCGTAATTTTTATAATATTTTTGCACGAATAGTCAAATGCATTATTTTTTCACAAATTCAGTTCGGATAAATAATTTGTTTTTCCAAATTACAGTAACAAACCTTAAAGTTTGCTATATTGAGAAGAAAAACCCTAAATTTGAGGCCTGTACCATGTTTCTGTGAAATCCTACCAACCACAAAAAAACTTACTTTTTTTATTTTAATTTAATCTCCGTTTGGTCATGATCGGTTCTTTTTTATGGTTGCTTGTAAACATTTCTCTGTTGTTCTGATACTGAAGTACAAATTGAAATCTATACAGTGAAATATATTTTTTTAATTTACTGAGAATTAAAAATATATATATAGTTTTCATTTTTATCAGAATAACATTGTAATTTTTTTGATTATGGTTTTAATCTTACCGAATCGAATATCTTGCAAATAGTCTGCGTTTTCACTCTCTACCAGACTGCTTTTAATGTGACTATATTGATTTGTATATTTAAATTAAATACAATATTTTTTTAAATATGGCAGTGAATATATTCCTTTCAATCATAATAATGTGAAAATCTCCCCAAAGAGGTAAATTAAAACTTTGTAAACTTGATTCTATTTTTTCTACTTGCGCCTTAAAGTATGCTATGCCATTGTATCAGAATATAATGAGTCAAAAACCAGACGGTCGTGGAAACAAAATAAATGGCTGAATTATTTTTATTTATTTTTTATGAAAATAGGCATTTGGTATTCTGTATAATTTTTTATACCCTCTACCCTTAGATGAAATGCATATAAAATTTAAAAAATATAAAAAACAGTGTTTTGAGCCTTGGTTATTTTAAATGGGATATATCGGTCCAAGTTTTGATAAAGGCACCATTTTTGTGTAAGGTTTTAGCAGCATTTTCTAATGGAGGGTGCTGTAATTTGGCACTCCGGTTTCCTTGAAAATAATGAAGTGGTCCACGTTCTATTTTCGTTATTTTAATATACCCATTTCGGTTTTTTGGTGTATAAAAACTTCTTTTTATACACCTTTTGACATATCCTGATTTAAAGTGTTTCGAATGTCCTTGCGAATACTCCAGCCTAAATGAGTTTGCCCCCACATTAGGATCTGACCAATATTGCAGGACATGGGTATGGAAAGGAAAGATATCCGGATCGGAGCAGTCTAATGAAGATGTCAGCAAAGAGTTAGGTCTTTATACCTAGCTTTCATTTTGTGGTTAATAAAGATGCCGTGTGGCGAAAAATCCTATTTTTTTTTCGAATTATGGTTTATGGGTCCTTCTATAGACATTTGAAGTCGTTTTAAAAAATACTGTGTATTATTAGACATTTGTATATAGGAATAAACCATATTAAGGATACCAAGATTCATATAATGTATTTTTATACCCTACACAACTATGTTGTCAGGGTATTATAGCTTTGTGCAGGCCCAAGAGTTTGTAATGCCGCGAAATATGGGTCCTAGACCCACCTTTAAGTATAGCGATCGTCATATCTCGACTAGCTGAGTCGATCTAGACATGTGTGTCCGTCCGTCTGTCCATTATAATTTGTAAACACGATACAGGCCACAGATATGGACCAATCTTCATGAAATTTTGCATGTAGGATGGGTTCTACCCAATGAAGACCCCTATTGTTTTTCATAAAGATCGGTTAATATTTAGGGGATGAAATGGACCAAATACTTAATTTTTGTCGGTTTTTCTGGCCACTCCAGAGGCCGTAATTATGACCCGAACATCGCGAAAGGGGAGAAGGGGGTCGGGCCAAAGAATAATCATGGCTGTTTTGATAAAGATCGGCCAATATTTAGCGGGTCAAATGGACCCAGACTTTTGTGTGAAAAATTACAAAATTTGTATTCTATAGCGTATATATTTACTCCTGAAGGATATAGACGCGTTGATAGCATATCCGAGAGGAGTGGTTGGCCTTTAAATTGATACCAACTACAGTTATGTATCTACTTGGATCTGGGAGTTACACTCAAATATTTACAGGTGTTATTTACAGATATTATTTAGTATCCCATTACCACATTAGAGGGCGGAAATACCGCGCTGATCGCTTTGAAATTTTCCATGAAGTTCCAATTATGGTCAAGGACAACGCCTACAATTTTCGGTGATTATCACATAATAGTATTGGGATGAAATGGACCCAAAAACCTAATTTTTTGTGTGTTCCGAACATCACAACACAACCCACCATGAAGGGAATCTGGATAAGTAATTAGAAGGGCTGTACTGAGTATTCGAAAATGTAAGGAAAATGTGCTGTTGACCTCTAATCGGACAAATATCACGAAATATTACCCTGAATCGGAATAAACATTCGCAGAGAGTTAGAGTTCTGCGGTAGTTGTGTAGGGTATCGTATGGTCGGCCCCGTCCGACTATACTGCTCCGCTCACTGGTTTATATTATATTTATATTTTATATTTTTATATTAATAAATAATATATATATTAATATATGACATTTTTCTGATTCGAATGATCTTCTAGTCTTCTGTGAGAAAAACTTCTATAGAACACCTTCTTATGCTTTTCTATAGAAAAATGCAAATACAGAATATTTTGATATATTCTATACAATATGTTGGGCTTCTATTCATTGCAGTTATATGTGTAAGAGGATCTTCTCGATCTTCTAGTCTTCTATGGGAGAAAAGCTTCGGATTTTAATAGAACACCTTCTTCTGATTTTTTTATATATAAGGGCCTTCTGTAGCAAATACATCATAGTATCATATACAAGAATATTTTCTGATCTTCTGTATAATATTTTGGGGTTCTATTTATTCTAGTTATATATTAAGAGGGCCTTCTATTAGAAGAAACGTTCGGTTCCTATATGAAAACTTTTTTCTTCGGGCTTCTATGAAAAAAAAATACTTTCTGGTGTTTTATAGAAGAAAACCTCTTGGTCTATTATAAATAGTTTTTTGTTCATTATTGGAAGAAGTTCTTCAGGTTTGCTTTGTAACAAGACGATATTAATTTTACTTAGTTCCATATTAGGTATTGGAATTCATATTTAATTTTCATTCTTGGAAAATGCATTTTTTTTTGTTAAAATTATTTTCGGTTTTAAATACCAAAATCTTATTAGAATGACATTTCATTCAAATATAAAAAAAAACATTTCCCCTACATATCTTGAACAGATGTTCCATTTTAAATTCATCTAATTAATTGTGAACAAAAATCGAATGAAAAATCTATAGAATTGAAATAAATTGCCCAAAAAAAAAAACAATTCTAAATTTAGCAAAAAAAAAAATTCCTTTAAAAAGAAATACACAAAAATAAATAAAAAGACAAAAATCAAACGATGACAACACAATGCGACGTCTTATCCGCACATGAAGTGAAATTCGTGGGTTGGCGGCGACGGCGTAAAGCCTTCGAAATTCCCAAAAGTGAAAAGTTTTGTGCACACCATTCTGGCGTTTATCCAAAACGTTTTCTTTTTTCACTTCGTCTTGTTGTTGTTGTTGGCGCTTTTTTTTCATCAATTCGATGCCATTCCAAATAAAAATAACCTAAAATGCAGTTTATTTTTATTGGGGGTTTCAATTTGTAAAAGAAGACATTAGCTAGCATCATGGATAAGAATAAGGGGGGAGGAAAAATAGGAAACAGGAAAATTAATTTTGTTTTTCGTTTGAAATTCACCAAAAAACAACTGGAAATTGTTAATCAAAGCAATAGATGGAGATGATATTTCTCTAAGATTACATTAAGTAAAGAATTAGAGATAAATATTATTTTTGTAAATATTTCAAAATGATTTATTAAAGCATGTTGCTATTAAAGACAATAATTTGTGGTGTGACAGAACTTAGGTATAGAGTGTATGAGTTATTTACATGACAATGTGTATGTGTGTTTGAGTTTTGGGTCACTATTTTTAACTTCACATTTTTTCTCTATTGTAGTTCTATTTTTCATTGTACAATGATAAATTCCATCAGTTCAATTTAAAACACCCTGTATCGTTGTCTATAAATATACCTGCAAATAGGAAGTTGTGTCTGCTGTCTTCCAAAGGTTGTAAAAGTTTATTGCCTTCATTCGGACTAAATCCTCCTTTAGCGCGTGGATATTTAGTTTTAGTTCTAATTTTATAATTCCATGATCATTGGTGAGACAGACATGCGACATATTTAAACTTAGTGGAATGTCATGATCAATTTTGCTTGTCTATAAATAGTTTGTACATAAAATTCGGTATTGTAATATTTTTATGAGTTTATGGATGGTGGGACGGATACATAAAGAAGCATTAGGTGTGAAGAATATTTATAAATTTGAATTATTCCTGTACTCTAAAACAAAACTATTCCTGTCTTATTTTCAATACACTATTCAGAACGTTTTGTTATTCTTTTATGAAAGCTTTCTTCTAGAATGGACCCTTTTGGCTTTCCATGAAAAAAAATTTGGAAAAAAAATTCTTCGGTCTTCGGAATATTCGGATATTCAAAATGTATTAAAAATATGTTTTGTTCTTATATAGAAAAGCCTTTCGGGTCTTGTACCTTTCCCACATGGAAGTCCATCTGATCTTCTATAACAAAACTATTCCTGTCTTATTTTCAAGACACTATTCAGAACGTTTTGGTATTATTTTATGAAAGCTTACTTCTAGAATGGACCCTTTTGGCTTTCCACGAGAAAATACCTTCTGATCTTCTATTGAATAAGTTTTTTTAATTTGGAA